TACACAACACAAACAGAACTGATTTCATATGTACACCAAAAGACTGGTACAAGAATATTCATAACAGCTTGACTCGTAATAGCCAAAAATTGGAAAAACCACCCAAATATTCCATCAACAGGAGAATGGATACATAAATTATGGTACATTCAGACAATATAATACTATACAACAATGTTTAATTACAAAATACTGCTATGGACAACAACATGGATGATTCATAGATACAACATTGAGTAAAAGGAGCCAGACACAAAAGTACATACTGTATGATTCCATTTATAGAAGATTCAAAGTCAGACAAAATTAATCTATTGTGATAGAGGTCAAAATAATGATTAACTTTTGGGTATAATGATTGGGAAGAGACATGAGGGAGCTTTCTGGGATGTTGAAAAGTTTATCAAATGGTGGTTGTACGGGTTTATAAAACAAATCATCAATTTATGATTTTAAGATCTTTGCTCTATATTGTACAAAAGTCTTATTAAAAATGAAAGAAAAGAAATCACACATGCTCAAAGTAAATGGCAGATCTTAAGTTTTGTTTGTTTGTTTTGCTGAGAAAGATTAGGCCTGAGCTGACACCTGTGCCAATCTTCCCTCACTTTGTATGTGGGTCACCACCACAGCATGGCTGACAGTGGTGCAGGTCCGAGCCCGGGATCTGAACCTGTGAACCTGGGCTGCTGAAGGGGAGTGTGTTGAAGTCAAGCACTACACAAAGGGGCTGGCCCCAGCAGATCTATGTTTTGAATCCACATTTCTCTAACTACAAAACCAATTCTCTTTCAATTCTGGTTTTTGCCTCAGAAGCCTAGATTTTATTCCACTGAGTGAAAACTGAGCATGGATAATTCATTTAAACAAACACAACTTCCACTAGAAATTGCTACATTTAAAAGACTGATGATAGCCTATATTAGTAGAATTGACACTTTCATTGTATGTTGAATATTGGTGAAAATTTAAGCAGGGCAACTGATAAAGATGTACAATCAGGTTTTAACTATGAAAGCCTCATTCTCAACAATATTTCTGAGACTTTGTCCAAAAGATGTAACTATACATGTACACAAAAAGGAGTGTGCAGTAAAACACTGCATAATAATGAGGAAAAGCCAGAAAGAACTTAAATATTCTACAATAGGGAAATGGTTAAATAAATTATAGTATATCCAGACAATGTAGTTAAAAAATTATAACACAGTTTGTAATTTGATGACATGAAAATCTATATGCACCTATATTTTGTTAGATGAAGAAGGCAGATTACAAGGCAGTATGATTTTGTTTTGAATGAAAGAATCCTATTTACCTATATCCATGTGCTAATTCACAGAGAAACAGGTGAAATGATTTGGAATAACATGTTCAAAAAAGCTGTTTCTAGGTGAGCTTTACTTTAAGCTTTTCCATATTCACTAAATTTCTGAATTAAGAATCTACTAATTTTACAATCAGAAAATATAACAGAGTTAATTCTTCCATCTTTGAAGGCAGAAGACATAATAGGAGATGTGTATATGATACGTGATGTACAGTGTTGTGGTTTGAATTCTGGCTGAAGAGGCCTCAGCTTTCTTCATAGACATGAAATCTGTCAGATGAGTAACACGAGTACTACCTTAAAGTAGTACCAATACTACATTGAGTCCTAAGGTTTTATACACAAGGATTCCCTCTTACTGCTTGCCCCTCACCTACCTAGGCTCAGCTCTCTCACTGCCAACCTCTCCACCAGCCATTGTTCCAACAAGGAAATCAAATCTGCCTCGGAAATTAATTAATTAATAATAAATCCTACACAGAGGAGAAGAAATGGGACTTAGGCCTGATGTGGCTATGCAGAAATCCAGACCATTCCCTTGATCATCAGGCAGAAAAGGAAGTAAAAAGTAATCTGAAGGATCAGGATGATGACACTTTAGAAATAACACAGCACAGAGGCCCATTTCCACCTCTAGGAATCTTAAAGCAATCCTTCAGAAAATTAGCTAAGCACCCTAAAGAGTCACATTCCCCAGTGAGTCATGGTGAAGAAAGTAAGATGGCTCCAGAATGCAGATTTTGAATTGGAAAAGGAAAAAGAGATATTGTAATCAGGGAGACCCAGTTGATTAAATAAATGTGTAAATGTATATAGGTCCTATATCACACACTTGAATAAATTCCTCTGAGTGGGGGGAGTCACCTATACTCCACTCAGCAGAAGTCAATGCCACATTCCTGAGTCTACATGCTCCTGAAATGACATGAACCCATGTCCCTATAAGGTCCTGGAATGGAATGTAAAGTTGGTGAAGACATGGGAAGTTGGACAGCAAAGATGAGTTGCTCAGGAAAGTTATTAGTTAAATAAATTACAAAATATCCATGTTATAGAATACTAAGACAAATGCAAAATTGCAGAAAATAATTAAGGATATGGAATATTTTCAAGCTATAATAGCAGAGAAATCACTTTACAAAACAAGTTGACCAATACAATTACATCAATATAGAGTGACAGAAAAGTCTAGAAAGTCTTATACCTGTTTCAGTTATCTATTACTATGTAACTACACCAAAAGTGTGTGGCTTAAAACAAAAAACAGTAATTAGCTCATTATTCTGGGGGTTGGCAATTTGCACTTGGCTTGGCTAAACGGTTCTTCTGCTGATCTCCCTTAAATTATAGCAGCCTGCTGGTGGCTTGGTGGGGGCTGGATGGTCCAAGATGGTCTCACTGAAATAGCCGGCAGTTGTTGATGACTGTCAGCTGGGCCACTGTCTCCAGGTGACGTTTCATCTTCAAGCAAGCTAGTCTTAGCCTTCAGCACATGGTGTTCTCAGGGCAGGAGGAGGGAAAGGACAAAAGCTGCAAGCCGTCCTAAGGCTTTGTCTGGGAAGTTTCACAGTGTCACTTCCACCACAGTCTGTTAGTCAAAGTACATCTCAAGGCCCTGCCTGATAGTTACCTAACCATTTCAGTAGAAGGAGAGCAAAAACTTCCTGTTCTGAAAAACAAAAACAACAAGTACAACAACAAAATCCCTGACCTTGAGCTTAGTTTTCAGATATGCTCAGTAATGTTTTCCTTTCCTCGGGGTTCTTCATCCAGAGAACTGCACTGTAAGGGGAGGGAGGGGGGAAGGGTAAGAAATCATGAGACATCAGACCTTTCTTGGAGCACAGAATGGCTAAATTGGAAGAAATTCTTCAACACCACACAAGCTCCCATCATCTACCACATACATGCTCAGATGGAAATAAAAGGGAGATGGAAGGTCTGCTAACCTTAATAACAAAGGGAAAGGCCAGGGTCACTGATATCCAGGGCTGAAACTTTAAGTTCACAGCAAGTTTCCTAGGGAGACAGCTTTGGGAATGATGTGGTTCTGAAATATGGAACTTGACCTCAGCTCCCAAGGGAGATGCTCTGAGGAATGAATCCTACTCCTGGGCTCTCCCCATGTCTTCCTAGGACTCTGCCCTAAGGGACACTACCAACCCTGAAATTCATTCCAAAAACAGCTTTGTGCTTTTTTGCTTGCACGTACCCTTTATCCTACCACTCAAATATCTGACTCCCGATTTGGTGACCATCTCTCTGCAGCTAGGGTCCACGGCTATAAAGCAGGAGAAAAGACGCAGCAGCAGGGAGCCCACGGATACAGATCCTAAGAAAGGAAAGACCCTAAAATTGGCCCTTAGGCGGGCAACACGCTACTCATACCCCTCTGTGTTAAGCACCAGGCTGGGCGCTGGAGGTGGCGGAGCCCTAATAAGGAGCCCAGGCCAGGCTTCAGTGCAGGGCGACCCTGGTCAACACAGGCATCGTAGTCTTTACAGGCACAGATACACTTTTAGGGGAGATATTTAAAAAGCCCCTCATGCCAACGTTAAACCCAGAACTGCAAAAATGAAGCTCTACTCGGTAATACAACCCTACGCGGTCACAGAATCAAAAGCCTCTCCCATCACATTAGGTAACAACAGCAATGTCGTCTCAAACCCCACAGTGTCACATAGCCCGCATCAGAGCCGACCACAGTCACCCCAAAGGTCCCGCATCCGAGCAGGGACACACAGCACAATCACGCACCTGTCATGGCCTTATCACAGCGCACACAGCCGTCTCGTCCCCGCCACAAACGCTCACACTTAAACACGCATACATACGCCTGAGCTCCGCGCTCCGCACGCCCGTCTGCGCCATGGGGCCTCGGGGATTCCTCACCTGAGCGCCCGCCGCGCCCAGACTCCCTTGCCCACTCGGAGCGCGACGACTTTTGAGGGTTTCGCAGGAGAACCAGACAGGCAAAGTTGTTTCCAAAAGCGGCCGGGGGGCTGTGGGAAATGTAGTTCAAGGCCGGAAAAACCCGGATGTCGAGAAGGCGCGCCGAGGCCGCGGCCGCGAAGACGGAGCCGCGGAGACACTTGGGAGGTGCAGCCAGCGCCGAGTACGCAGGCGCAAGCGGCTGGCCAGTGGTCCAAGGTGAGGCTGGTCGGCCGGGTGGGCTCTGAGGAGGGCGTTGGTGGCGGGACCCGCGGGGATGCCGAGGAGGGACCGTCGGCTGGAGAAAACGACGAGGAAGGAAGAGGGAACCTGGGCGGAGAAGGACGAGGAGGAAAGCGAGAGTCTGGGCCCTAGAGAAAGCGAGGAGTGAAGCTAGAACCCAGGCAGGGCAGGGAACCGGGAGCCAGGGCCGGGGAGCGCCCGAGAGGGAACGGGAGTCCAGGCTGGGGAGCGCCGAGGAGGGACCTGGAAGTCCGAGGCGGGTGGGAGCTCGGCGGGCAGGAATTTTGTCTGATTTTTCCCGGTGAGGAATCCCCAGCTCTCGGAGGGCGGCCTGGCACGCACAGGCACACACAGTTCGTATAGCTTTTTGTGCCTGTGCTTGTGTGTGTTTGGGCATGTGGTGCTCCGTGTAACGTTGTGGAACCGATTGTTTATGAAAGTAGTAGGTCTCTGCCTGTGTCTGATTTTTAAATTAGGTGCCAGCCGAGTTGTGTTTGAGACTGTCTGCAACTTTGGAGAAGCGACAATATGGGGTTTATAAGTAAAACTTTGTTACTTTGTGTAGAAGTATGTATGGGCTGTGTGAGATTATGCGTGACATGCGTGCCTGTGGGATTGTGATTGTGTAGTGGATGATATAACTGAATATGTCTAATTTTTGAAGTATTTTGTGTGCACAATCCAAAGTGACTATGATTGTGGCTCATTGTGTGGGATGAAGTGCTTGAGAAATTGGATGTGTGACTAGTTAAGTATGTATTGTTTAGATTATCTAAACATGGGCCATTTTATATGCTTCAGAATTTGACTCTGTGGCAATTAGACAAGTAGAATAAATAGAGATTTTAAAAATGGAGGGGATGAGATAAAATTAAAATGATTTTCAGATGGCAGGATAGTATATTGGGAAACCCCATATGGACTATCCAGAATGTTCACTGTAGTAATCAGTACTTCAAACTCTCTCTCCTCCTGGAAGCTTGCAGTGCTTCCAGTTTCTTCTCTAATTTCTCAACCTCTATTTTGTCTCTACTTCCTCTAGGTGGGTAGTCTCCAGCTGGAATGGATTGGGAACTGGAAAAGGGAAGAGACGTCAGGGACAAGAAGAGGCTAACATGACTGGTACTATTATAATTTAGTGTAAGTCGTCTTTTACCTTCTGAAAGAACCTCCTGCTGGGAACTTCCGGAGATACACTGCCCTTCTGGGCACAGACACTTCTCCAGCTGCCTCTTCAGTGCTTCCTCTGGGCATGCAGTGGCCCACCTGGCTGGTCTGGTCTCTCCAGTTAGTCCTCTTGGACAGGATCCAAGCCAGCCTAGACAGGCTCCATCCATGGGTTCCCCATCCAGAGCTCAGGTGAGAATTCACCATCTCAGCCACTTTGCCCTCCCAAATCCTGGAAGCATGTACTTTTCCCCCCACAATTCTCCCACCACTTTGGTTCCTACTGGCATGAGGGTCTGAAAGGCCTCTTGTTTATTATAAGGAAGGGAGAAGCACTCACTTTTCTTCCCTCTGTAAAGCTATGTTCTAAAAACCATTTACTCCTTTACTGAGATATTCCCTTCTCTCAGCCTCTCCAGCCTCTTGAAGTAGGAGTGAAACTAATGGTAGCAAAACTTTATAGTTAGCTGCTCTACAAGACTTCATTTTTAAATGAGGAACACTTAGAAACTTGTTTTGCTCACCATCTTTGGGACATCTGCTGAAACAGGCCGAAAAATTTCTTTGTTACCATTCTGTTAAAAACAAACAATGATAGCAATTAGAAAACTCAGTTTTGCTGGAAAAAAAAAGTTAAATCAGTAGGCTTCACAGATATGTGTTTGTGCATATGTGTATATATATGTATCAGAAAACTATGGCAAGTGGCCAGTGGCCATCAAAAATATGAGATACAAAGGATGTATAGAAAGATTTGTTTTAATTAATCCTAAGGGACTCAAAAATCCTTAGATAAAAGAACAGGAAGACACAATATAATAAAATGTCAAAACTCCCTAACATTTCATGCAGTTCCAGTAAAATTTTTGAACTTTCTGAAGTTCTTAGGAGAAAATGAACAAGCCAGAAATTCTGAGAGAAAAATGAGGGAGAAGTAGGCCTAGTTGATATTAAAATTGTTTGAAAACTGTAATAACTACAGAGTAATCTTGGCAATTAAATGCACAGATCAGTGGAACTAAATATGAAGTCCAGATCTACTCAAATGTATAAAGGAAATAAAGTATGTGATAAAGATGGCAGTTTTGATGAGTGGAGGAAATATAGATTACTGAATACCTGATGGTACTAAACCAGATGGCCCAATAATCTTTTTTTTAAGTTATTTTTGCATGGGAAGAATGCAAATTCAAATGAGAAACTATAAAAAATTAAGTAAATACAGGATTAATCTCCTTCTTTTAAATAAGATCAATCCAGAAAATAAAAATAACCTAACAGAAAAGTGAAAGAATTAGACCTTTCACAGATAAGAAACTAAAGATGTTTTGTGACTTATGAAAAGCAGCCTATCTTCTTCCATAATAAAAAAAATAAAAATTAGAACCACAATTTATACCTAGTAGATAGGCAGGCATCAAGAAGTTTGTATCATAGTATATATTAGCATACAGAGTGACAGGTATTCCGATATATTGCAGATGGTGGTATAAATGGTAGAGCCTTAATGGAGAGCAGGTTGGAGGTAGTTAATAACAGTAGTCTGCTTAGGAGAGAAAAGATGGTGCTGGAGAGGAGGGGAGCTTGCCCAGAACCTAACCTGTTGCCCCAAGAGCCTGTATCTCTGGCTTTGGGGATAAAATAAGATTTGCCTGGCTCATTCTCCCCACTGTATTTATGTGGGATGTGCAGAGTGGACGAGGGCCAAAGCAAGGGAAACGGAGGCAATTTTAATTGAGTCGTAAATCATAAGAGAGCTATAAGGCATGTGGGGTGCATGTGGCTTCTTTTCATCTTGGCTTTGCCTTCTTAGGAACTGCCCCTTTTCTAAAGAGGAGCCCAAAGGAAGACTGGTCATCTTTTGCAAATCTCAAAACCATGGCTCAGGTGAGGTGATGGTTCCTCTCTCTTTTCTTTTTATTTTTTTAAAGGACATTTGAGCATTTGCCTTTCTTGTTCTGAAATCCTCCTGGCCTATCTTCCCCTTCAGGCAAGTGGTCCCATTTCTTCCCATATTGAACAAATAAGCCTTTACCTTCCACAAGTGCTCCTTCTAATTTTAATCAGCGTTCACACATTAAGTGGGTATATCATTCAACATCTTTCTCAATCTTCTCCCGGAAGCAATGCTGGGACAAAAGTGCATTTCCTCAAATTTAATGAGACTGTATTACCGCATGACCTTGTCTAGATAAAAACAGTCAAGATGGAGAGGGAATTGATAGATTGCTATTAAGAAGTGGCGAGAAGTCCTGTCTTGAGGCTTCGAGAATAGAGCTATGCTTGGCAGATTGTACAAAGAACTGAGAATTCTGTATTTCTCCTGTCTGCTCCTTCAGTTTTGCTCATAGCTGCAAACAATTCCTAAAAATCTGTGGCCTGCCGGTAACACTCCCCCAGTATGCTAATTGTGTTAAGATTTATTCCTATTTTTAAATTTCCTCTGATTTTTTTATTTGGATGCATGGGAAGTAAATATATATGCTTAAATCACCATACTGAAGTAGGAGTGTAACTCCTGAAATATTCTGCTCTTGGTTCATACTCTCTCCTGGTTCTTTCTTTCAGAAAATTTATCTTTATATCTGGACCTCTTAAATACTGGTGTTCTTATTCTGTATTGGTTCTCTTCTCTTTACAGTCTCGTCTTCCTATTCACAATCTACCACTATTATTCTAATGATGCTCAAGTAATTTTAATCCTAAACCTCTGGCCTGAGTGTCAAAATCATGTCCATCTTCCAACGAAATATCCCCACCTGATGTTCCACAGGTACTTCAGGCACATGGTCAAGATTTACCTCATTATGTCCTGCCCATCCTATTTTATTTTTGTTTTTTTCCCAACCTGCTTATGTCCCCAGCCCCTACCCACCTGCTAGTACAGCTAACTTGAGTTAAATGTCTCCTCTTTCACCACACAATCATTTAGTGAAGAATCTTATTCCTATACCACAGGTCCCTTCATCCCCACTGATACCATCTTTATTTGGGTGCCTCGCTCATAGTGGTCATTCATCTTCTCATTTAACACCTTTGCCCCTTTTCCAGTCCTCCACGTGCTCACCCCAGTGCTCACTTACAGATCTTTGTGTTTCTTGTGCTTTTCTGTTTAACTTTTGTGTGTGTGGTAAAATATACATAACAAAATTTTACCATTTTAACCATTTTTAAGTGTGTAATTCAGTGCTACTAGGTATAGTCACAATGTTGTGTAACAGTCACCACTGTCTAGTTCCCAAACTTTTTCAGCATCCCAAACAGAAACTCTGTACCAATAACATTAAATAACTACTCTTACGGTTTTTATAGCATCAGACCCAAAGCACGTTAAAGGAATGTATAAAAACAATCCATTACGGGAGAAGAAAATGTTAAAATGCTCAAGTTTAAATTCAAGAATAGGAATTATTAATAATAGTTTTCCAGGGGCTGGCCCTGTGGCCGAGTGGTTAAGTTCATGCGCTCTGCTGCAGGTGGCGCAGTGTTTCATTGGTTTGAATCCTGGGCACGGACATGGCATTGCTCATCAAACCACGCTGAGGTAGCGTCCCACATGCCACAACTAGAAGGACCCACAACGAAGAATATACAACTATGTACCGGGGGGCTTTGGGGAGAAAAAGGAAAAAAATAAAATAAATAAATAAATAAATAATAGTTTTCCAACTCACATCTCCTTTTATTTAGATCTTTAAATTCTCTTAGTAATGTTTTGTTGTTTCACTGTAAGAGTGTTGCAAATATTTTGTTATTTTAATCCCTAGGTATTTTTTTATGCTATTGCAAATGCTACTCATTTTTATCTCAAATTTCCATCATTTATTGCTAGTATATGAAAATGCAATTGATTTTTGTATATTGACCAGTCTTTCTAAATTCACGTAATAGTTTTAGTAATTTTTTTATAGATGCTTTAGGATTTTCTACATAGACAATCATATGTGAATAATGACTATTTTCCTTCTTGCTTTTGAATCCATATTCCTTTTATTTCTGTCTTGCTTTACTACATTGTTTAGAACCAGTGCAATGTTGAGTAGAAGTGTGAGAACAGACATTTTTGCCGTGTTGCTGACTTAGGGGAAAAGCATTCAGTCTTTCACTATTAAGTATGATATTAGCAAAAGGTTTTACATAGATGCTCTTTATCAGGTAAAAGAAGTGCTAGTTTGCTGATAGTTTTTATCACGAATGGGTGCTGAATTTTGTCAGAGGTTTTTCTACATGTATTGGTTTTTCTGCATGATATATGGCTTTTTTCTTTTTTCTAATAACATGATGAATTATATTGATTGATTTTGAAGTGTTAAACCAACTTAGTAGCCCTAGTATTATTTTTTTATACATTGTTTGATGAATTTGTTAATACGTTGTTAAGGATTCTTTTGTCTGTTGTTCGTAAAGAATTTGGTCTGTAGTTTTTCTTTTAATATCTTTGTTTAGTTTTGGTATCAGCGTAATGCTGTCTTATAAAATGAGTTGGAAAGTATTCTCTCATCTTTTTTTCTGAAAGAATTTGTGCAGAAGTGGTATTATTTCTTCATTAAATGTTTGTTAGAATTCACCGGTGAAGTCATCTGAGCCTGGAGATTTCTTCGTGAGAAGGTGTTTAACTAGCAGTTCAATTTCCTTAATAGAATTAGGGCTATTCAGGTTATCAATTTTTTTATTCAGTGAGCTTTTATAATTTGTGTCTTTCAAAGAATTTGTCCGTTTCATCTAAGTTATAAATTTATTGGCATAAAGTTGTTCAAAATATATTCTTTTTACCCTTTTGATGTTTGTAAAAATAGGTAGCAATGCCCCTCTTTCGTTCCTGTTATTGACAGTTTGTGTCTCTTACCTTTTTCCTTGGTCATTTGGCTAGAGGTTTATCAATTTCATTGATCTTTTCAAAGTACCAGCTTTTGATTTCATTGATTCCCTCCATTGTGTTCCTGTTTCCTGTTTCTTCCCTCCTGCTGTTACATTTTTTATTTCCTTTCCTTTTCGCCACTTTGGGTTTAATTAACTCTTTTTCTAGTTTTGTGAATAGAAGCTTATATCATTGATATAAGATCTTTATTTTTTTCTAATAGAACATTTAATGTTATAAATTTCCCTCTAAGCACTATTTAAGTAGCCTTCAACAAATTTTGACATGTATTTTCATTTTCTTTTAGTTGAAAATATCTTCTAATTTCTCATGATTTCTTTCTTGACCCATTGGTTTTTTAGAAGTTATATTTAATTTCCAGATATTTGAGGATTTTCCAAATATCTGTCTGTTACTGATTTCTAGTTTAATTCTGTTGCGATCGGACAACATACCCTATATAAATCTTCTTAAATTTGTGGAGACTTCTTTTGTAGCACAGATTATGGTTTAACTTGAATGTTCTGTGTGCACTTATAAAAAATGTATTCTAGTATTATTAGGTGGAGTATTTTCTAAATAATCAGGTCAAATTGGTTGATTCTGATGGTCTTCTATATCCTTATTGATTTTCAGTCTATTTGTTATAGCAATGAGTGAGAGAGGAAAGTTGAAATCTTCAATTATAATCGTGGCTTTGTTTATTTTTCCTTTTCAATCTATCAGTTTTTACTTACCGTATTTTGAAGTTCTGTTTCTTTCCTATTTTCCCAATTTTTTTTATTGTTGTTCCTTTTTTCTCTTTTCTTGTTTTCTTTTGGATTGAGAAACTTTTTTATGATTCCATTTTTTCTCTATTATTCACTTATTAGAAGTATATCTTTGTTTTATTTTTTTAGTGGTTGCCCTAGGCCTAGGGGTTGGCAAGCTATCATCTGAGGGCTCAATCAGGCATGCCACTTGGTTTTGTAACTAAAGTTTCATTGGGATGCAGCCAGTTGCCAAAGCATTTTGGATAGCTTATGTTGCTCTCTTTCAAGTACCCTGCTCTTTCCTTCTTCAATGGCTAATGTGTTGTTGCTCCCATCTATTGGATTTTTCATATCTCATATTTTTCTTCTCTACAAGTTCTACATGATCCTTTTTCATATCTTCAGTTTCTCTCGTCATGTTCATCTTTTCCTCTACATTCTTGAGCTTATGGAGCAAGACCCAGTTTAACATCTTTATTTGCTAAATCCATCACCTCTGTTATTTCTGGTTTTGTTTTTGTTTGTTTTTTTCTTCCTCCTGAATATAGATCCCATTTTCCTGCTTCTTTGCTTGCCTGGAAATTTTTTACTTGAATTTTAAATTGCTGCATGCTGTATTTTGTTGTGTTCCTTTAAAGAGTTCAGTTACCTCATATCGTTTTGACCCTTTTAAGGCTTGCATTTAAGCTTTTGTTGGTGTAGAGCAGCATTTGGTCTAAGGCTAATTTAGTCCCATTACTGAGGTCAGCAACCTATACCCCATGCGCCAGATCCAGCCTGCTGCCTGTTTTTTAAATAAAAGTTATATTGGAACACAGTCACACTTACTTGCTTATATATTGTCCATGACTGCTTTTGCACTACAGTTACAGAGTGGTTGTAGCAGAGACGATATGGCCCGCAAAGCCTGGAATATTTGCTATCTGGCCCTTTACATGAATAGTTTGCCAACCCCTGCTCTGCCAAAGCCTGTGTGGTATCAGGTCACTCTACTCTGGCTGGTGGGAGAACAAACTGTTCCCACGCCTGTTTGAGCTCTGGGAATTGTTCGCCCTATTACTTTCCTCTGATTCTTTCCCCCGCTTCATGGAGTTTCATTCCCTGTCTTTGCAGGTCAGTCTTCAGCCGTAGATTCACGGAGATCACTCTGCAGCTGTCTAGAGTGGTCTCTCTCTGCTGCTTCCTCCTCTTCAGTATTTTGCCTGGCAGTTCTTGCCATCTTGGACTCTTCAAATTCTCATTTCTGTTTCTTTAACTCAGGGTGACTGCCGGGCTCT